TAACCATATATCACCATTTGGGCAACTTCCCATCCTTTGTTTAACCGATGCCCTACTGCTGGACATTTTGACAATGGCCAATTTTTCACTTTTATAAACAATGCTGATTTGAACACTCTCTCGGGAACATATCTTTGCTGGTAAATAATACATTCTTGAAAGTATAATTGTTGTCACTTTTATTACTGTTACTTCTGGTTGTCTTTGATCACTGCATGCCATTTAATTGATTTCAAAATCAGGGAATTGCTCAGCCTTTTACTAGTTCTCAGAACAAACTGACTTCTGAAGCTCACTTTCCTCACCTGAAAAATGAAAGTCTATCACTTGAGGTGCTGCCAACTAAGAAGATGATGGCCAGCAGGGAAGCTCTGAGGTTGTGGGCAGCCCCTCGCCCCCTCCCCCTCCCCAGTGCCTGGGAGTCTTAGTAGGGGAGTCGCTGATGTTGATGTAACAGATTCTGAAGCAGGGAAGCCCAGGGCACAGAGTTGGCACACAAGGCATGACAGCAGCCCAGGAATTGGTTAAGTGGATTTGGCAGGGTCACACCACTCAGTCTCTGGTTGAATTATTCCGAATGGAACAGCGGGGGCAAGATCCAGGAGGAGGAGATTCCGAGTTGCCAGGAAATCAGAATTTGATTTCTCAGCAGACAATTGCAACTAATTTTCAGAAATCAGAGGATCTCAGTGCTAATGGGAAACTTTTCAAGTCGTTTTCAGGGTGGGCTATAGAAGAAAGTGTAAGTTTTGGGAAGAAGACAGACTGGATTTGAAGTCAGGTGAACAATTGTGTCAAGTTCCCTAACACCTCCAAGCTTCTGTTCATGGATTGATGAAATGAGGACCTTATTATCTCTGCCATGTGTCGTCCATCAGAAATAGGGTACACAAGTGTTTGCAAGTGCATCTAGCACACAGGTACTCACCCAATGGCCATTGCTATTGCTGTTATTATTATTACTATTATTATTATGCTCTCTCTCGGAGATGCTAAGGAGTTTCTGAAGGAGACAGCAAGTCAAAGAGTATGTTGGCCATGTACCAGCTCTCCCCTGCCCTGGGCCAGGCACTGTCCCGGTCTTAGGGTTGCAGCAATGACAGAATTTCTTGCCCTCTTGGATCTCATTTCTGGCTGGGAAAACAAAGAATAAACACGTAAATATAAAATATGCTGTCAGACAGGGTCTTTGAAAAACCACGAAACCCAGAAGGGAGCAGAAGGAGATGTGGGGCTGGTTCAGATTTTTTAAAATGTTATCTTATTGTGGTAACAGTTGACATGAGATCTGCCTTCCTAATACATTTTTAAGTGTATGCTGTGGTTTGGTTAACTATAAGCACATTGATCCGTGCTAGGGTCTCCCCAGTTCACCAGTGAAGGTGCTGCAACAATGGGTGACACATTTTCCCCCGTTTTCACAGCCCATTCTGCCCTCCAGATGTTTATTTCCTTTAAGATGCTAACCTTAAAAATAAGTTATTACACCAGCAAAAGTAGATTTATTCAGGAATAACAGAGGATTGCCACTCAGGACATGCAAGCTAGGGCAAAACCACAGGCAAGTCCAACACAAAAGGAGAGGAAGGTTATTTTGCAGAGAAGGAGAAGTTGGCAGGGGCTGTTTTGAAGGAAAGTCCACTGGAGAAGAGCAAGAGTTCAGGGTGGTGAGGTTTCTTGGGCTGAGTTGCAGGGGTGGTGGATTTCTTGTAGGAGAAGCAATGTACATCTTTCCCTGTGGGGGGTCTGTAATTGACAATTCTTTCCCCCGACTCTTTTTCTGTTGGAGCCTGTAATTGACACTTCTAGGATTCCCCGCCCCCATGCTTCCCTTCTGGCTCCAGACTCCATCTGAATGAGCTTTCCTTTTATTAATTTTCTTGCAAGGGCCCAGATCTTACTCCACCCAGCTTTGCATCCTCAGTGTCTGATTCTAGTATGCTCTCAACAAATGTTGAACTAAATTAAAAAATCCAACCTTGTAGTCCTCTATGGATGGAACCTTGAGTACCCCTCCATTCTCCCTCTCCATTGGAAATTTACCTGTGGTTACAAGTGGGAGCTGAAAGCGACCCAACTCCCACCTCCAGACTAGCCTAGGGCGCTGTCTCTCTGCGACAAGGTGGTCTGCTAATTCACCTCCCTGACTCATGCCCCGCCCCACCGCTGCCCAGGGGCTCTACAAAGCCCCACCTGGCCATGCCCCTGCCCCTCTAAAGCATGTCAGGGACTCCTGGTCGCCAGGCTCAAGTCCACACTCCTCTGCAGGCCTCTCCACTCCCATCAACCACCTGGCCCTTGGCTATAACCCACCGTCCCGCCCACCCCCCCAGCCCTAACTCCAAGGTCTTCTCTTTCACATGGGGGTGGTGTGTAGGGGGATAGGGGGAAGGGGACCTCCCATTCTTTAGTCTCTGCCTCCTCAGTAGTGGATCTAGAGTTTGCTACCTCCCTCATTCTCTGACTCATCCACCTGTGTCCTTCACAGCGCTCAGGATCACTCGATAATGCAATATGGCAGTCTACTTCCTGATGTGCTGGCTTTCTGTCCTCTAGAATGCGCAGAGGCAACCCGCCTGGGCTCGGCACTCTGAGACATTTAAACACCATGGGAACAAGCCCCAAGTGAAAAACATCGTGCACCTCTGACGACTCCTGTTGGCAGTTACTGTTAAACCATTGTCTTAGCAGAATCAGGATGCGGCCAAAATGTGACGCCCGGTACAAGCCCCACTTAAAACAGAGGCCCTGGCCTCCAAAAAGCACCAAGGGGCTGCCTGAGTTGTCTGCCAATATCGACCAATCAGGACAAGGCCCTTCCAACCAATCAGGAGGACGCACTCCCCTCCCCCTTTGCCTCATTAGCATATTTGACCCTGGGAACCTGAGCGTGAACTTTGTAAGTGCAGGTCCCTGGTCTGTATGGGAAGGCCTCCCTGAGCGCTATCCCTTGGTTCTGTGTCTCCCTTCTGCTGGAGCTGTAGCCCCAGTAAAACCTTGCCTGTGTCTTTAACTTCTGGGTCTGGCCTGGTTTCTACCGTGGTTGGGCCCGAGAACCCAACTGGGTAACAAATCCCCCTCAGCACCTGGATGGTCCTGGCACATACAGGCCTTGTAACAGCTGAGAAGCGAGTGTGCCTCTTCCCTACCCTACCTTGATCTGATAAGTAGGGCACCTGTCTCAGCCCGTCAGCGTCCCACAGCGGGATCTATTTTCACCAGCACACCTCCTCTGCTTCATTGAGACCGCACCTGACCCTCCGGCGAACCAAGCGGGCGCTCAGGAACCAGGTGTGGAGTGAATTGTCACGGGGCAGGTGGGAAATAACGCAGGAGAAGAAAGAAGCGGCTGGATTGCTAAGAATTCCCTGAGTGTTCACACGTTTGCCCCATACTGTCTATTAAACACTGCTAAGCGGGCAGCCAGAGATGCCCCAGAATTCAGAAGCCTGTTCGGGAGTCGGGGGGGAGGGGATGGAGGAGGTCATCCGGATTAAGCCATGCTCTCATCTAGTTCAAAATACCCCGGCCTGGGCCATTTTTAGGAAAGGAGGTCAGAAAGAAAAAGTAGAGGAGCCCCCTGGGCCAGCACCTGTTGGTTCTCTGCTGCTGCGGGTTAGTTGGGAAGCCCTATAAAAGGAAACAAAGTGTTCTGTGGCTCAAGAAAAAGAGGCCCTAAAGCAAAAGTGTTTATTTGCGATTCCAGAGACACAAAGTCTACTGAAGTTGAAAATGTGCCCCCAGAGGAGTGCAGGCTTATAAAGGCAAACCACGCAAGGAGAGAGTCAAACTATGTGATACAGGATTGGCTATTTAGCCAACAGCTATTATATTATCTCTATCCTGGCCAACGTAGAAGGAGGTCTCCTAGAAGGTGATGGAGGTGCAATTGACAAAAGTCCTGAGTTCGTGGTGTTGCAAACATTGATACAGAAGAAAGACATGGGTCATGCTTCAATATCCTTCTGACCCATTGGCATGACTCTTAGCAATGCTGACTCTATTTTTAAATCTTTGCTCACTTCTCATCAGACCTACCTGGCTCCTGTCCCCCTCTTCTGAGAGACCTTGGCAGGTGACTGAAGCTCTGCAGGACTTCCAGGACCTCATCTAATAATAAGGACCTGGATCCACCCCTCCCCCAGGGCATAGAGAGAGCCAGCAAACAGGGCCACCTGTAGGAAGAGACAGGTAGCTGCTGGAACAGATGGGGGGCCCTCCTTGCAGGACACACGGCAAAGTCACCCGCAACCCCCTGCCCCTCTAAACTTTCCAAACTGGCCTACAGCTGCTGCCTTGTTGGGGGATGGGGGGGCTATTTCAGACCAGGCTGTTAAAGGGACCAAAATATCCGGTGGAGTCTATAACTGGACAGGGAGTTGTCAGCCCCTGTCCCAGGCTTCCTAGGGCAGCCTCTTTACTGCCTGGAAGCCAGGCTGCCCCTGCCCCTTCCCGCAGGGGCGCACCCTCCCGCCGGCTTGGCTCCCGCCCCCCAGGGCACAGACCGCCGCCCGCCCGGCCGCCGCCGCTTCTCCCGCCGGCCCTCCTCCCAAGCCCGCCCACCGCTGGCTCCTCCCTCCGCGCTCCGAGCTGGGGGCTCTCACCGCCCGGCCACTTTGCCCCTGGGGGGACCGAGCAGCTTTGTTCTTGGGCAGCAGCTGGGCTGGCCGCCGCTTCTGTTCTCCCCGGAGGACCTGTCTCCCCTTGCCTTATTTTTGTGTTCTGCAGCACTTTCTGTTTTATTTTCTAAGTTCGAAGCCTTACCTTTTTGCCCTGTTTCTTTGGTTATTGGTTTTAAAACTAGCCTTTCTCAGGACCCCTGGCCTGGGGGAAGCCCCCAGACTTATTACAAGTCTTGTCTGGAGATTGAGATTGCTACATTTGGGGGGCGGTGAGCGGGTTTGCTGGTCAGTGGACACCCCCCCCCACGGCCATGCTCCCGGAGACCCAACTTCCGCGCCCGAGTTTCCCACTCGGCGTTCTCCCCCCCCCCCCCCAGGAGGGGGCTGCCTGGGGCTGGCTGCTTCTCTGGACACTGCTTCCAGTGGATCCCCGCCCTGGACTGGAACCCCAGCTGGTATCCCTTTGAGCTTCTCCCTTGCCAGGTAAGGCCGGGGTCTCTTCTCTGGAGGCTGCTGGAGGTGATGGGGCTTCAGGCTTAGACCCATCTCCCCTTGGGGAGGATGGAGGAGCCATGGGTGCATGGAGCTGGGGAGAGTGCCCTTTCCAGACTGAGCTGTTTCCTTCTGGGGCTTGAACATCAAGCATTCTGGGGAGGGACCTCGGTCCTGAGCTGACAGGTCTGTGCTTTGCCACCTTCAGAGTAAAATGAAGCAAAGTCCGTGAGAAGCTACCTGTCTGGTTGTAGGTGAGCAGCTGGGCAAGGCAGGAGCCCAGAGATGACTGGGGTGTGTTGGATACAGGGGCTTCTTTCCAAGCTGCTACTGTTAAAAGTTGTTGAGATCGCCCAGCCTCCTTCAACTTTCCAGTAAGAAATTTGGAGTAAAAGCCAGGAAGGTGGGGAAAAGGAAAGAAAAAGAAAAACAGAGAGAGAACAGCTTACCTGCAGTTTTGCATTATTTTCAGGGAACTTTGCCTTTTTGGTCTAAATTTAGATCTCTTTCCTTCTGAGCAGTTTATTATCCCTCTCTCAATGGTTGCAAACCTGGGGGGGGGATGTTTTTGTCCTTTTTTCTGTCTGTCCTCCAATGTAGTGGGCCAGAGGTTCCGGTCCCGGGTGATGAAGTTGTAACTTGAATTAGTGGTGTTCTAAGACCATGTGCCCTCACTTCTCCCCAGTCCCATGGAGACTCTGAGATGCCAGGGGCCACACTTACCAGGCATCCCTTGAAGAAGGGGCCACCCCATCAGCCAGTCCTGGAGCGCTGGGCTGGGTCCCTCTCCCCAGAACTTCAACCTGCTACTGGGTCCTCTTCCAGAGCCTGCACCAGCACCTCTGTCCCCTCTGTCTCTGCACAGGCCATTCCAGCCCCCAGTCGGTCTCATTGACGGTATATGCCCAGCAAAATCCCAGACAGCCCGTGAGAACGCCATGGCTTTGGGCGGAATCCCGGGACCCCTTCTAGTTTATTTAGTTAATTGCACTGTTTCAGGAAAGTTCTAAATTCTAGGGCTTCGGCGTGGTCAGAGGCCGCTGAGAGGGGTGGGCTGCCCGGTGAAGGACAGGAGCTCCTAACCCTGTTGCTTTATGGGGCTGCCTGAGCTCCCAGACTGTCCCAGGAGCCTCAGTGTCCTCATATGGCAAGGGATGCAGACAGACAGTTCTGGGAGAGCGGGGCTTGTGGAAGGCATGCCCCATGTCTCAGCAGCCTGTGTTTGTCAGCCCCGGAGAGGGAGACCCCCCACCCCATCCTAGATTTCGTTGTCCCTCTGCTGCTGAGGAGCCGACGGTGACTTTGGGAAATTGTCACCTTGTGGTTGTTGGGCCTCTAATGCTAGACAAGAGACTGGAAGAGAAGAAGGGTTTCTTTTCTGGGAATGCAGGAGCGGCCCTAGGGGATCCATGGGGCCTTTAAAACAATCAGAACAGGAGTTTGTAAGTGGTTTTCCTGGTGCTTCCAAATTTCATCAGGTGTTTAAAAAAGCTTCTCTGCATCCACAGAATGGTTAAATAAGTAGCTCGTGGGCTGATCCAGCCACAGAGTTTTAATGTTTCACAGGTTGTTTTATTTTTTATTTTATTTTTTTAAAGATTTTTATTTATTTATTTGACAGAGAGAGAGCACAAGTAGGCAGAGCAGTAGACAGAGGGAGAGGGAGAAGCAGGCTCCCTGCTGAGCAGGGAGTCTGATGCTGGACTCCATCCCAGGACCCTGAGATTGTGACCTGAGCCAAAGGCAGACGCTTAACCAACTGAGCCACCCAGGCGCTGCATGAGTTGTTTTAAATTTGATTTCGTTACTTGCCAGTAAGTTGTTCAGCAGACTTTATGTACGAGTCTTAAACTTTGGTTTTTCTTGAAAAATGGGAAGAAAGGACAACTTTTTCCTTGCATAAGGTCTGAGCGGCCACCCACTTTAGCGAGGGGTGTGCCCTCTCCGCTGGTCCACATTTGTCTGTGTGAGTAGCAGGGGTCTCCTTGGACCCCGGAGTTTGTCAGCTCTGCACTAGATGATCCGGGCTATCTCCCCCACTCTGATTCCTTTCTAAGAGGGGTGCAGATAAGCGGAAATGCTTTCGGAGGAGAGAAAGCAGGATTCCTGGGAACAGAAGCCATGGCTCACGTGGAAAGATAATTGCCACCCCAAGAAAGGTCATCTGACGTGGAGGCAAGAAGCTGTGTGGTCGTGGTGGCGTGCAGGAATGGCATGTGGGAGACGCAGCTGACCTGCTGTCTTCGTTCCCAAAGGGTGGAAATAGGAGGTCCTGGTGAGGGAAGTTTTGTTGGACTCTGGATTCTAGTCCAGGAGGGAGAGCTGTGCAGGCACCAAAGAGATCCACTCACTGCTGGGGGGGAGAGGGTCCCCCAATACTGGAGGTATTTCAACCAAGCTTGGATTGCCATTTCAAATAGCTGGCAGAGGGCTGAGCTGGGCCTGGTGGACCTTTAAAGTCTTTTTCCCAGCTTGAGATCCTGCACTTCCTGAGGGCTTCCTCTTCAGCCTCAAAATTTGGCTAGTCCCCTCCTGCCTCCTCTCTTCCTTCAGTGCCCTTGCTGAGGAAGGCTAGCGCAGGTTGGGTGTGTGGTCACTAGTGGTCAGGACCGGTGAGCTCTAGGTAGCATTCCTATTCGGTTTTATCAGCAAAGAAATGGAAGACCAGTGTTTGAACCACTTACCTGAGGACAGGGAGAGAGCATACACGGAGTCAGGATTCAAAGCCACTTCTGGGGATCAAAGCCCATTGTCATTTCAACAAAGGCCTTTTTCCTCAGGCTGGGAAGACTTCCCCTCAGAATGGAGCATTGTTAGGGATGCAGGCCTACAAGGAGAACCAGAAAATGAGAAGAGCCCACAGTCATTTTAAGGGTGGGAAAGGTCCTTGAGGATTTCTTTAGCCAGTCCACTACTCAGGAATTGGGTACATGTTGTGATGAGCACTGGGGGTTATAAGCCAACTAATGAATTGTTGAACACTACATCGAAAACTAATGATGTACTATATGTTGGATAACTGAACATAAAAAAAAAAAAAGTATTGGATCCATGCTAGGATGCCTGACAAAAGTAACCACAAAATCAAGGAAGTCCAAGATTGGTAAGAGAGGAAAAGCGCAATTTCCCCATTGTACAGATGAGGAAACAGAGTCCAGGAAAACATGAAGGACTTGCGTGCTTCCTATTTAGAGACAGAGCTGAGTCTCAAACACAGGTCTCATGAGGTGCTGGGATACAGAGGGGTTGGCCCTCTGGTCTTCCTGCCCAGGACTTGGCATTGTGCACGTGTGTGTATGTGTGTGTTGGGCGGGGTTGGTACCATTTTGTATTGCTTCTTAAAATTTCTTCAAGCGGGTGAGCTAACCATTCCCGCGTGCTACAGCAGTGAGCATCTCTGTGCACGCGATTTCCCACGTGTTGCCATATGATGTGCTCTGATTATTCCCAAGGAATAGGGTTTCTGGGTCAAAGGAGGTGGGCGTGATCATGTTTTTGGGCGGTACCAGGACTGAGCATTCATGAGAAGCTGAATGCCAGGTAGCATCATAGCACAAAATAAGGGAAGTCTTGGTAAATAACCCAGGGATCTGGGGAGGTTGGACCTGCCAACCCTGTGCTCTCGAAGATGCTAGAATCCGTGTGTGACAAAGCTATCTGGCTGCCGAGCTCCCTCCTACTGCCCATGACGGAGGCCAGGTGCCTCAGGCAGTGTTCCCAGTTCCTGGAAGCTGGCTCCTTCTAGTTAATTCTGGCTATGTTCTGGTAGAGATGAGAGTATCATTGTAATTTTTTTTAAAGTTTGGTTCATTACAAAATATTGGGGAAAAAAGGAATTGACACCATCTTCTGGTTGGAACTCACTCAAGGGAGAAGCCTCAGCTCTAACTGTGTACTGGCAGATCCAGGACCTTGGAGCTGGCCTTGACTGCCTGGTAGCCAAGTTGTTGGGCGACAGTATGCTCCTGAGTCCACAAAGACAAGAAAAAGCAAACGGACCTGGGCGCCTGGGTGGCTCAGTTGGTTGAGCGACTGCCTTCGGCTCAGGTCATGATCCTGGAGTCCCGGGATCGAGTCCCGCATCGGGCTCCCTGCTC